GTGACTTGTAGGGAAAAGCTACTGAAAAGAAACAGGGTGCTTAAAGAAAAGAGTGGACAGTGCTAAAGCAACCTCTCTTCCCATCAGGTTTGAAATCCTATATTGTTCCTTCAAGGCTTAGTTCCAATTCTGGATCAAGCAATCTATCCTACCTGTTTGGTATTATCTATGCTCTAGCATGAAATCTTGAGGCTGCAAACCTTCAGAGAACTGAAGGTTAAGATTGTTTACACGTGTGTTTGTATTAGTGCACAGGGGGAAGGAAGTAACACACCAAAGAGTAAAAATACATTTTTCTTGATGAATAATCTGTGGGAGATGGGCAGCATATCAATTTAATAAATAATAATAATAATAATAATAATAATAATAATAATAATAATAATCTGCATGTATCAAATTAATATATTTTCATATTTACATAAAAGGCATTACACATGCCTTTCTGAATAATTGTCTGCCCTCTGGAATGAAATTCCCCTTGCAATCCAGGTATTTCGGAGGACCTGGCCTTGGGCTAGGATTCATGGAGCCCCTTGTGAGCTTTGCTATTGGCCCAGTTTGCCATCTTGTATTTTTTATCTGCTTTCTTATCTTTTTGCTGGTTTCTTTTTAAATTGTATTTAATTTTTTTGTTCAATTGTGAGCCACCTAGAGTGGTTTGAGTTGGGCAATTCAACAAAAAATAACCTGGCTGGCTTTGTCCTTAGGAAGTCATCCCAGGCAGAAAAGAACTCCTTCAAGTGGAATTTGAAGACCTTTAACCTGGCCTTTCAGATATTCCAATAGTGCACTCGTTGCCACTGTAACTAAGTCCATCTACCTTCTTGCTGGTCATCCTCTTCTCTTTCCATCCACCTTTCCCAGCATTAGAACCTTCTCCAGAGAGCTAGGTCTTCACATAATGTGTCCGAAGTAGGATAATTTGAGCCTGGTTTTCTTGGCTGTCCACAGTATTCTCAGAAGTCTTGTCCTACACCAAAGTTCAAAAGTGTCAATTACTTTTCCTATCTTGCTTCTTCAAAGTCCAACTTTTGCTTCCATAGGGTGTCCCAGGGAATACCTTGGCTTGCGTGATTCTGATCTTTGTAGATGTAGAAACATTACAGCATTTGAATATCTTTCCCAAGGAAGTTATGCCTACATCAGCATTATTTTTCTGTACAAGATTTCCCATATAGTTTTGCTGTACAGCAAGTGTTAGTCCTGTGTGGTGATTTGCATACAACGTACTAGACTTTTTCCTTGTTTAAAGTATTCGACTCTGAAACACTTTTGGATACAACTGCAAGTACCTGTTCCTCGATACTTTGTCTATTCAGCACTAGAGGGAGCCAATGCCTTATGTTTTCTTTCTTGTAAATTCAGATCCCATTTTAGTTCTTTGAAAATGGTTCTTGAAACAATGCCAAAAAGTGTTTAGCGTATTCACAAGATGCTTGAAGAGGCAATCTGTTTGTATGTAACAATATCCCTGTGTGGAACTACTGCCAGCTGAAAAGAATGCTACTTCTAGTTTCAGGCAACATCAGCCTGAGCACGATGATGCAGCCCACTGCTATTACTGAATGGAAAGATTATGCCATATCAGCATGGTGCCATGCAGTTTGAAAAATGCAGAAATTGCCTTATCCATTGGACTTGGTTTTATAACGACATTCAAATCATTCAGCTGAGCAAAAGTTTGCTGCCAGCCTGTGAGATTGATGAATCACTTTATTAAAATTGCATCAATCTGCTATAGCCTTCCTCAACCTTCTGCCCTCCAGATATCTTGAATTGCTACCCTCTTCATTCCAACATAGCATAGTTCTCTCCCATGGTTCTGGGGTGTGTGTATGTGTGTGTGCATGTGTGTGTTAGTTACAAGGTCAAAATGGTATGTTCGATCAGGAAATTGAAGCCTTGTCCCTGTTTAACACACTTTGCATGCATCTCACACGCCTTTGATCAACCAGTTGTACACACCATTTTCATGCTGTTGACATCTCCATGGGTGCCCTTGTCCTTCACCATAATATTAGAGTTATAGATTATATTTATTTTAATGATAATATATAATAATATAATTCTATTTAGAATGGCTTTCAGTAAATTATTCTGTTTTTTAAAAAAATATTACGTTGAGCAGGTTTGTTGCCTGCCAAATCTTCAGGGAGCTGGACTTACAAGGTCAGTCTTAGGGATACCCTATCTGGGCTTCAAAAGCCCAGGCTATCACAAAACCCTTTGGTGCCCCCAGTGCCACCACACTCACAGCGCAGATTTAGTAGTCCTATTGTAATGATCCTTTAATTAAATCTGTTGCTTTTTATTGGTCTCCATGCTAAGCCCAATAAAGAGATTTGCTCACTATAAGAATTTGCAGAGTGGGAAGACTCAGTAGCTCTTCTTAATTCCAACCATACATTTACTGCACTCTTCCCCAATCTTGGGATTTAGATGCAATGGAGGGCAACTCCCAGAATTCCCAGTGATTTTTAAATTGCTGAAAATAATGTGTGTCAAGGGCCGGTGCTTTGGGAGAATATCTGCTTGGGGAAAGCTGATTTACGCCACTGCTGTGCAGGCCCTGTCTTGGTCCCTGAAGGCTGTGGGGGTTTGAGTGGGAAAAAGCAGGCTTCCGTTCAGCCCTAGCAAAACTGAGTGGCTGTGGATTTTAGGGCCCCCAGTTCCAGGGACTTTCCATCTCTAGTTCTGTATGGGGTTGCATCCAGACAGAACCAGTATGAAATTTGGGGGGGGGGATCCTTTTGGCTCCTGTTTGAGGAACAGGTGGCAGCCATGGCTAAGCAAGCTTTTGCACAGCTTCGTGTTGTGCACCAATTGCACCCTTTCCTGGACCCCTTACAGTCCCTCATGCTGTAGCTACCTCATGGTGACTTGCTTTTCACCAGGCATGAAAAACTTGCCTCCGCCATCAAGCCTCGGGCCCTGATAATGTGGGTGAGCCCATTTCTTGGATATATTGATTGTGGGATATTGTGGTGGTTCTGGGCTGCTATTTTATGTTTTTTATGTGTTTAATTCTTGGTTGTGTTTTTACTCTGTTTTTATTTTTGTTTTAATCGTTAGCCACCCAGAGTCATGTATATGAGATGGGCGGCCATGTACATTTATTAAATAAATAAATGGTATTGCCATGCGCAATATCATCTCTTTGGGGCTGCCCTTTGAGAACATCCCAAAATTGCAGCTGGTTCAAAATGCAGCGGTGCAAGCAGTTATGGGCACCCCTTAATTACACATCTGCATTGGTTATCGATAGGCTTCTGGGTGCCATTCAAGATGCAATGGACTATTTGCAAAATGCAGGTGGGGTGAAGCTTACATGGGGATTTGAAGATTAGATT